CAATACTGATCAATACAGAGTCACAGACTGGATCCAGTGTCTCTCTTCATCCACCAGAACCTTCACTGAGATCTTCTCTCTGCTCCAAAGTCAGATTGGATCAGTGATCGAAGATGGATCAATGAACTGATCAGACTGCTTGTTCAGCCAGCAGAGGTGTCAGATTATTGGTTCTGGTCCCGCTGTCCTCTGGTTGGTTCTGAGTTTGGTCTACTTGGTCCACAGCTGTTTGTAATGAGGAGACAGAGGCTGTTTAGACAGAAGACAAACAGAAAGAGACGGATGGACAGAGGAACAAACCTTTGACTATAAGATGAACTATTGCCTTTCTCCTGATGTCCTGGTGGTGGACTCCACAATAGTACCTTCCACTGTCTTTCTTTGTGGGCTTCATCAGAATCAGACTGAGGTCTCCAGTGTTCAGTGGGTCATCTTTCATCTTGGCTCTACCTCTGTAGTCCTCTTGTACTTTCGCCTGATCTTTACCATTCTTAACGACATAGACCTTGTTGTCTCTTTTGTCCAACCACCTAACCACAGTATCTCCTGGCAGATCAGGTGTTGTCTTGAATGGCAGTGTGACAGAATTCGCCCCCTCCTTCACCTTAACCTGATGTGCTGAGGGAACAACAAAGAGGAAGATTAGCTCTAGAGACAGCAGCAGATTTTCATCACTTCATTGAATGACTGTATATAAAGCTGAAGGCCAGAAGCAGAAAGATTTCAGGCGATCACTTCTCACTGTGACCAAAGATCACTTGGTGTTTCCACACTGAGGAAGGATCAGTGCTGCCTTATTGGTCCTTATTGATCTGAGGGAACATCAGAGGACCCTGATGCTGAACTGGGTTATCCTGCAGAACTAGACTACATCATTAAATCAACAGGTTTTAAATTTCATAAACATTTTTCTCTGCTATTTGTCTCATTTGGAAGATCTATTGCATAAAAAAGCTTAAAGGAATAGTACACCCAAAACATGATTAGCCTTCATTTTCTACTCACCCCCATGCTGAACAACACTCTGGAGTACTTTTTTGA